TTGCTACTCAATATACAACACAGGTCTTTTCCTTGTCTATACAAAATCATTATAAAAGGCAACCAATTTAAAACATTTTTATATATTCACAAATGCTCTGAAACTTATCCCTGTATTCACAATATAAGCCATACAATACAATTTTAGTCGTACTTTTATGCCATTGTTCCATGTGTTTGGGGAGTCAGATGGCTCTGCCAGAAAAGGGCACTATTGCAAGAATCACAAAAGTCTGAATAACTTTTTTGACACAGGACACACTAAAATTGTATGTTCACCTCTACAGATCCCAACATCCTACTTCCCATTGGATTGGTGCTTTGTGGTGTGAAGGTTCTCTTTATCAGCAGTTTCATCATCTACTACCTTTATAAGGTTGACATTGTGCTGTCGTTCAGGAGAGCGTTTCCAGTCCTCTATACAAATAAAGGTAATAATTTGCAATAGGTATGTAATTAGTAATGAGCTCTTTATTATATGCAGTGTATAATGTAACCATAATGTGTCAGCCCACAAGTACAAAAAGTACTTTTACACAAAACCCAGACATACAACACAATGCTGAACCTTAGGCTCTATCTCATACCTGACCCCATGTGTCAACAATGAGAGCAAGCAAAGGAAATGACCTAACCAGAGCTGCCTGCAGTAATTCTGATGAAATGCCATCCACTGATTATGCAACTAAAGAACCTTTTAACACTCAGGACTGCATTTTAACATTTTGCCTGAAGCCCAGTGGTTTCAAGTCTTCACAATCTGCTTTTAAAGGTTATGCCTTTTTCATTTGACAAGAGTAAACCCCGAACCCTTTAATATTAATAATCTTCAATTATTTTGCACATGGAGTCCCAAGAAGCATGATTATCATATTACCCAGTCTTACATTAAATATTTTATCTGTACTTGCAACATGACTGTAAGAATAAATAACAAAACATAAAAAACATAATAAACAATGTGTGCTTAACTGACACAATTCTTCCAAGCACTTAAACCTGAGATTGAATGGTATTTCCTCACCTGGGCAAAAGAACGACCCCTAAAAATACACCTTAATGAACTCTTCTTAAATTTCCTTTCAGATTTGGATGATAAGCTTTATGATGCCTATGTGGCCTACCCACTGCCCTGTGCTGCTGGATACAGCAAAGATGTGGAGGCCTTTTCCATTCAAACGCTGCCTCAAGTGTTGGAGCAGTCCTGCGGCTACAAACTCTTCATACCAGGACGTGACTGCCTGCCCGGCCAGGGTAAGTTGCCTATGTTAGAATATTATTTGCCTCAAATATGGGGGTGACATGTCTTCAATTAAAAAAATATTATTTATTTTAATCCTGTCACTCTGCTCTGAAAAAAAAAAAACCCTGTTTGAAAATCGCCTTTAAAGCTTCAAGGTTGATCTGGAGAGCCTTTTCTTAGGTTGTCACTACTAGTATTATATTGTCAGTCATAAACTAATAAATTACTGGTTCTTTACAACAGCACTTATATAACAGTGGTAGACTGAAGGGAAAATTGGTTTTGGCTGAATGCCAGTGGCATATTTTGACTTACTGTCCAGGCTGCTGTCCAAGTTACTAAATAACTTTTGTTTAGTGATTTATGATTAAGACATGAATCTGGTAAACCACGACTTTTATCAGAAAACCAAAATCAATTAATTTTAATCCAAAATCAATGGTTCTAAACCTTTTGGCTTGTGACTCCTCAAAACAAAGCAGTGTCTACTTGTGACCACCAGTTTTGGTTTTGTATTTAGCTTAAAAAAAACACCTGAAAGATTATTGGCAAGTCTGATTTGTTTTGAGTAGCACAAAGATGTTTCTCTGCTCTATTGTATATAACCCCCTTACATCTATCTTGCAACACCTGGGGGGGCAGAGCTACAGGTCAGGAACCACTGGTCTATTAGTATTAGTATTGTTATGGTTTGTGCACTAACATACCCTTTATTGTATGTGTTGCTACATTTGGGCTCATCACCTATTAAACTCATGTTTTATTAACAACACTCCGCTGTGTCTCCCTGCAGCTGTAGTGGATTCTGTGGAAGAGAACATACAAGCCAGTCGCCGCCTCCTTCTGATCTACACCGCCTCCACTTTCACCAGCAAAAGACACACAAGCAGCACTAGTAGCAATAACAACACAACAGCAGCGAAAACACTGAGAGCATGATGAATAACACGATTTTTGATGGTAGTGAACAAGTCTATGAAGACACAAGGCAGCAGTTGGAGTGTGTGGCAGCAATGCACAGAGCACTGCTGGAGGGATCTCTCAAGGTGAGAAAACAGACTTGTTAATGCATATGCTTGACAGCAAATTCTTAATTATTTAACCGCTGATAATGTGAAATGGATGTGATGCAAACCAAAACAAAGCAAACCATTTTCTTGGTTTTACAGCACATTTACTTTATAGTTTCATCTCACAGCTCTCATCAATCCCAGAAATTGTTCTCAGAAAACAAGCTCTGACAAACTCACTGTACATGACCCACTAAGCAACAAACAGCAGGCAGACTAAGTGAGAGACTAGTCCTGAAGGAAGTGGAACAGCTAGCAGCCATTTTTTCTCTGCAGAAAAATATCACAGGAGATAACGCAATCAATCATCTGACCTGCTGGGAAATACTTTCACAACAAACCCGGTAGACTCCACCTTCCTCAAAGGGGAAAGTTCAACTGGTAACACACTGGTGCAGTTAGGCTGTGGGTGGGCTAACCAGAGGTGGAGGAAGGATCTGGATTGTATATATACTATTGATCTTTAATAAATCAAATATATCAGTAGAATACTTGATTTACAATAATCAAGGTATCAGAAATGCTAATCAAATGAATGCTAATTTTTGTCCTCTTGATATATAAATATGAACAAAGCATGTCCTGTTTTTTTAGGGGTGTTTTATTTTTTACCACTAGTGGAGTTGATATGTGCCTCCACAGAGTCTGACTCGCCTTATATCGAACTAAATTTTAATTCAATATGTATATGTCACATTGAAATAACAACAAATGTAGCCTACTGAATCTGAGACACCATTTATCATGAGCTACCTGATGCAAAGACTGGTTCACAAACATGAACTTTCTAAGCTTAATTTATAGATATGACATGAGTGAAATATTGAATGCCAGACATCTCATTCTGTTGGAGTTATGGGAAGTACAAAAATCACTTTTTACTCTGAAAGGACTTTCGACGGAGTACAGACACAGACTTGCACTTTATTCAGACAACAATGTCCTAGTTATCAGCATACTCTTGTTAATTAACGACAGATGATGTGATCTGCAGACATCGTCCATTTGTCATTTTTGACCAGCTAAAGAAACAGTCAGCGCCTGCTACAAATAAGAAGTCGCTCACTGATATGTACATGACAGACTCGGGACTAGTCCTGATTCTAAACAAACAACTTCTTTAAAAGTTGCATCAGGTTGTAATATTTCATACGAGAACAAACATTTAGTTCAGTAGGTCGCTGTCACAAAAAGACACCCTAATTCTAATTCAAGCGCTGCTTTACAGGTGGTTCTGGTTGAGTTGGAAGAGATCACCCCGGCTCAGCTGGCTCTCTTCCCAGAGTCAGTTCGTCACCTGAGGACGAAGCAGGGCGCTGTGTGTTGGTGGAAGTACCAGAGGCCGACGCAAAGATGGAGGACATGTTTGAGGAGAAGAGAAGACGAGGAGAAAGATGGACAGGACACAGACTTTTCGCCATCCCTCTCCCCTTCCTTCAGGTTTTGGAAGGAGATAAGGTATCATATGCCAGTGAGGGGCAAGAGAGTGGTACACCCTGAGAGGACTGCCCTGCTGAACTTATGATGGGGGTTATCCTATATAACTGTTGGACCAGAGAGTAGCTGGTTTCAGATGCAAATGTGTCTGGTAGTAATCACAGACAATTCATAAATACTGTGTGGTCACCAGAATCTGTGAAAGTTGAGTCAAGGTTACCCCACAGATGCACCAAAATGTACTACAAATTCATCTCAGCAGGTACATTTTTCCTTTAGCTTCCAAAATGTGTAACTGCTCAAGTAGCACATTTCATGCTGTAACAATACGGCACGTGCCGAAGGCAGAGTAACTGGTCAAGAAAGGGTGGAAGATTCTTTTCTTGAAAACTCAACAGCAGTACCTCACACCCGATATGCAGATCATCACAGTGTCTGGGCTATCCGGAGATTGCCGGCATCAATACATGAACTGTTGACATACCCTGGCAAATGAAGAATAAAGTGGACAAAGGAATGTTGAAACCAAATGAAAATGTGTGAAATGTACATATGTTTGATGAAAAGATGTAAATATGTAAAACAAAACAAAAAGTCTACAACATCATGAGAGGTCAAGCAGCAAACTGTGAATTTTATCTCAAATGTACTGCCATTTCTTTAATGGTATTTAAGAGCAAAAGCTGAGGGAAGAAAACAATTATTAGAAATGTATTTATTTTTATTAAATGCTATTTATAAAAGGCACAAACACCCTGCATCAAGGCAGAAAAAGCTGTTAGGCTTAAAATTAGGACAAACTGTGCATTTTTCATAAAAATTATTATTTTCATTTTAATTGACGGCACAACTTTTTGTTTTTTGTTTCCCTTAGCATTTTGTTTTTAGCAGTATGCAAAAGCCTCCGAATTGGCAAAGGAAACTCAATTCATTTCCTGAAGACGGTCATTGTATATAAGCTTGTTTTGTCAATAAATGGGACATTTGCAAAGGAAGTTGTGGTTCCAGTGAGTTAACCCATAACCTTCATATACTTTACATTTCTGCTGAATAGTCAATAGGTCTTACTCTACGTTTTAGATTACCAGTGGCCAGAATTGGTTCCAATTATCCGTACACTATGCAACTTATCTTTCAAGACTTGAAATCTATTCATGTCAAAAGTACATAATAAAGTAGTAATGCAGGTGCAAACAGACTTTACTGAAAACTCTTAGATTTGAAGAAAGAGATCACTTTATAAGGGAGGGGGGCATGCTTGTTTAAAGGGTTTTATATCAATTCCCACAGTGTGAGGTCATCAGTAAAGACCAGGAAGAAGTGCTTTTTAAGTATCATAACAATCCAACTATCCAATTTATTTTGAATTTACCCTTGTATATGGTACAGTAACACACTAATACAATCTTTATTGCATTGGGTCAATATACAGCTGTCACTTTCAGATCTGGAACAAATGTGGTTTCATGGCCTATATCTCAACCAAGGCCCTTGAGAGATAGGTATGAGTCATTGCAGCGAACCTATACTGCAAGACAAGTGGTACTTTTTTTCAGTTGAGTGGAAATTTCATGCAGGAGTTAGCGGAACAGTATAAATTATTGTAAAGACAGGAGGTTGAAAACCTACAAGCACGTGTTAAGCTTCTTACAAGTAACAAGCAGCTGTCTGTAAGTCTCAACACTCAGCCAGGTAAGGTAAAATTAGCAATTACAGTCGGTGTCTGCTCTTTACCACTGTAGCTCTCTAAGGAAGTGTATTATATATTTATTATATTTTATGTATTCTGTAGTACGTCCATGCTTTTCGGTAAATTATATAATATATAATATAATATGTTTTCTATAAATGGATACATGGTGTCAGTGTAACTGTAAGTGTAAATTTATTTAATTTAACAGTATATCACTGATAATATATTATTCCCTTTGTTCTTTTGGGTATTATCTTACCAAATACTGAATTTATAACTGACAGTTTTTAAATCAATGTAAATCCATGTCTTTATAAAATTCAGTGCAATGTATTTTGTTATAAGCGCAAATTAACTTGGCTAACTAGACAACAGTGCTGACTGATTAGTCAGTCCAGTGAATATTCTGAAATAAAATACTAACAACAAAAGATCTTTTCATTAGAAACATTCAAAGCAGGGCAGCGGCCACCAGCCAAATGCTGGCTGGTATGTTTGCTTCACTCACCAGCCAAAAAGCAATGTTATATGCTGATTGGCTGCTAAAGTCTGAACATTCACAAGCCATTTGGCCTGTGGACAAAAAAAAATATTTTGCTCCCTGCTATGAAGTATATATTATTCACTGAACAACACTACAACTAAAATATGTGAATAGAACTCATACTACAAATTTAAAGCAAAAGTACTGTAATGACAAAAAACGCTGAATCACTACAGTAAGATAGACAGAGAGATAGAGATAAAGAGATAGAGAGAGCGAGAGAGATTGACAGAGAGATTAACAGTAGGATTCAGTGGTGTAGTAGTGAAGTTGTAGTAGTAGCCATTTGACAGCGCAGCCTGTAGATAAAAACAGCTCATCATGAAGTAACAAAACCACAACCATTTTTGAGTGATTATACACTAATGAAAACATACCTATGAATAATAAATGCTGCTAATATAGTCTTCTAAATGTTACCCACCACCTTTAAATTCCAAATAAACACCAATCAGTGGAACTTCCTGGGACTTTACTGGGAGTGTTTCAGACGTGCCTTCCTTGTGTCAACTGCACCTCTCACTTCCCTTTATAGGAATGTATTCAGTCAGTTCACCCGTCAGGAAATGTGTCAAGAAACCTGTGAGAGACTGAGAACATGAGCCATGTCTGTGAAATCTCACAGGACTTCAGTGAAATGTGACCTGTCTTTTACCACAGACAAGGACTATGGCAGTGGCAGGCTGGGTCTTCTTGCTGGTTGCCCTGCTGTCTCTCTCATTCGCTGAGGCACACTGTGAGTACTGACCATCAAAATTCTTCTGAGCCCTTTATTTTCAGACTGAGAAAGGTTTCTACTGTTATGATTCATTTCTAAAACCAGACTCTGGCTGCTTTACATGAAGTTTATAACACAAAGCTTTTGTCCAATTGTTGCTTTCAATTATTTGCTGACACTCAAGTTTGAGCACTTTCAGTTTCAGTATTCTTCCAGTCAAAATATCAACACAGCCTTCTACGGGTTGGGGGGAAAAACTCCATTGAGCCCATGTCGGGTAAAGATAGAATTACAGATGAACCTGATACCCACAAACTTTCTTTAGAGCATGTTGAACAGTTAACTGAAAGTTAAAAGTTCAAGCGCAGGGCTTGTGTTGCAACACTGCCTTTCCTGTTTATAACCTGTTAAACAGGCCCTTGAGAAATCTGAGCATTACTTGTTGAAGGAGTTTCCTTCAAAAGAGATATTCACTGCCTGTTTTCAGCATACATTTTCTATTACAGATAATAAGATGAGCTGTTTGCGACATGATTGAATTAAAGCTTTCACAAATATATGTAAAAAATTTATATTTATAAAATGTCTTAAAATAGGTAATTAAAATAGTTTGTAATCCAAACATAATATAACTAATATGATAATAATGAATAAATAACACAAGAAAAGCATAAAGTAATCGATGAAAAATAAAAATACATTAGGCATGTGTGATAATTATCTGTCAATAGTAGGAAATTATATCATTCTGATTAATCAAATTATAGCCAATAAATTATCCATCCATAATAATGATAATTAATTTCTGTATTCTTATTTTAGAATGGTCGAGAAGTTTTCTGATGTACTTAAAAAAAAAAGAACATTTGAGGAGTCAGAATTGTTGTTTCGAAGTGTGGTCAGTTATATTTAGTTAGGTCAGAATATATAATCATCCACCTTTCTTACTCTGTGGTGTGCATAAAATACAGGTTATGAACTTTTTAAAAAAATTAAAATTATTTGTTTTATATTAAATTATTTTATTGGCGTCGGCTACGAGGAGCAGGTAACTATCGGTTATCATATTGGCTCAAAAAAAATCCAAAATATAGAATATAAAATGTATTTTGAGTGGCAAAAAATTTAAAGTGTATACATGTGTACATTATCCTGTATACATGTAGATATATCATAACAAAGTAAATAAGTACAGAATGACATCATAATTATCAAAGTTGTTATTTTAGTGGGTCTAGTCACTAAAACTGATGATAAATATTAACGGGTGAGAAAGCAATGACTGAACCAACAGTTAAGAGTAGAAAATAAATGAAATCTCTTGATATTGTGCTCTGTGACGTTTTATTCTGACAAGACAACCTTGGAACGCACTATTAGCACAATATTGCACCTTGTTGAAGGGTGACAAACCACACACCAATACAGCTGAGGCTCTGAATCAATGGCACACCAGTCAGTGATGATTGTAGGGCTGGGCAATATGGCCAAAAAATAAAATCTGTCATCATCAATCACTACAAACTGCAAACCTGTTTTGTTTTACATACACACACTCTGAACATTATTAATATTTGGCCAAAACACAACAACTCTACAGGCAGGAACTTCATAATGTATATTTGAAGTAATAAAAAAAACTCCAAATGTGAGGGAGTAGATCAAATGAATTATTTAAATATTTACAAGCTATAAAACACCCAAACCCAGAGATCCAGAGGGAACTAGTGAGAGAGAAACACCGTAGCAACATGTCTGCATGAAGTAGGATAGTACTGACATACAAAAGACACAAGTGCTAATAACAGTAAATTACTAACAGTTTCACTTGCAATTGATCATTGATTATTATTAAGGCTATAAAGGCTTTTTGCCTTCATTCCAGTGGAAATTTCCAAATGGGAACAAAAATGAATGCTGTACAAATATTTCATTTCATCCATTTCAGTTGCATTTGTTTCTATACTGCATTCAGACTCAGAGATAATAAAACTGCTTTGACAGTAAAATCCTGACGCCCAGCACTACTATCTACATATTTACACACATAGAAACCCCCTCATTCAGAGATTTTGAGAGAAAGAGTCAGAGAAGATAAAATGTAGCCACGCCATACTTCTGAGTAGCATGTGTAAGTGTGTGTAATGTAGCGTAGACCTCATGCCGCAAAATGGAATGATTCATTTCTCCCGTCCCTGAGTTGTCCCATACACTGTATTTTTGGGCCAAGAGGACATTAATGTTTTTGAAAACTGCCAGGGACACTGCATTGAGCATGAACCTAGTTTAATCTACTCCCGTCCCCACTTCAATGTCAGTGGGTTCTTTCAATCTGCGTCCTCTGTTAATTAAATAGGTCAAAGATGGCAAACATTGACATTCACACTTTTATGGTTGTGTGTTAAGGAAGTCCCTTACCTGAATGACGTCAGCAATGTGTTAGAAAGGAAATTGCTCACTCAGTCTAAAGTTACACAATAAAACCCAGTTTTACATGAGAGGCTGAAAGATTCATTAGTTTCCTTTAAAAACAACTACAGTAGCTTACTGCAGCTTGGCCAAGTTGTCTTTAGGGAGAGTGGACATTTTGGAGCTCTATTTTTCTCACATACTATGTGGTACTACAGCAAGAAGGAGGGAACTGTATTATAAACGAAAAAATAAATGAAAGACACAGATGGTTCTTTAAGATAGAGTACAAAATCTTGCCAGGGAACGGAAATATTTCAATCAGAAAATCCAACCAAAGTAAATTTATTTTAATAATTTAATGTGGTACTAAAGAACATGGCGGTCAATATCAAATTTAGACTTCAGCCTCTCGTTTGACAGCAATAAACTCAGCTAAGCTAATTACACTGATAACATTTAACTATGCCTATAATAGATTTACATCTGTGACCTTAAAGAAGCATTTCACCCGTGGAAACATTAATCTTTATTGAAAGTGGGTTATATATGTAGTCGAAATGTAACATAAATTTTGAATTTGGTGCCTATTTGACCGAGAAAAGAGTGTTTGTAGTCTCACCCCCTCTATCAAAGATATGAGACTTCCTGCTTCCAGTGATGCAAAGATGATGATTTTTCCACTCATTTGGTGAAGCAGGAAGTGCACACTGAAATCTGTATTTCTCCCGTCTTAAGGGGAAAATGAGGGAATGGTGCACGACCATTCAAAAATATGACTGGGTTTCTAACGATACAAAGCTTAATGCAAATGGGTGAAGTGTCCCTTTAAGTGGCAGACACAGCTCCTCCTCTGAACAGAAGCTGGCAATCCAGGAAAACACACATCACTCGACAAATCAAAAAGCCCCTGATTATCATGAAACGGAAAGATACTGTGAACTCTGCTACAATAAAGGATGTTGATGTCTTGTATGTGACATAATTTACAACTACTGCCACCTCTATCAAACCTGAACTGCACCATCGCCAACAAGTCTTTTTCTCTGATCCAAAAGTTCATGTAGTGAACAAACAAAGCATTACAACAGCAGCTACTGAAAACAGAAGGAAAACACCAGGGGATGACTGCAATAAAGAGTTTGGGAGTGACAATACAAGACATTCACAGACATCACCTTGGACTTTTTCACTACTTTCTGAGATTCTATAGAGCAATCTATTGATTAATCTAGAAAATGATCAGCAGATTAATCAATAATGATAATAATTGATTGTTGGTTCCCATCCTCAGAGGCTTACAACAATTGTCAAGGTATAACCATATGATATAGCCATGGATACCAAACACATGCTCCAAACCTTAAAACATAAATCTAAGAGATGAGATCAACAATGTTTGGAAAAGACTGTGCAACACTGTAACCACTGCAACACAGGCCAATGACGTTCCTGTTCATACACCACAAAGACTACAATTAATGTATGTAACCTGCCTGTAAGTCTCACACACACACACACACACACACACACTCAGACAAACAGTCAAGCTAACAGTAAACATTAGCAGGTGGCAACTGAGTTTAAGTTAGCGGACAACCTTGTGTTTGCTCTTTGCCTTGCTCCGTGCAGAGGCATCCACCCATCAACCCCAGGTGTTGGTGTACTTTGGACTGACTTACTATTGCGAACTTGGAAAACAAGCATTCACAGAGCAGCAGCCAGTTCAGCTAGCAGCCAGCTAACATCAGTCCAGACTCCCGCCGTCTCTCTCTTTTCATCCTCCCAAACCTTCTCAAAAGTATATGTTCTTTCATCTTATTTTCAGTGTTTAGTAAATAGTTATGTTTGTCAAATTCTTAATTTCCTGCATTTTTACATTTCTGTAGCCTGTTTTCTTTCCACTAACTTTGGTGGTTTAACATTAGTTCACCGTGGTTTGGTAAGCCCGCCATCAGAACCTGTATTAGGCTGCGTTCACGTCACAATAGGAACATCCATAACCCTAAGACTACTAGTTTTTATATATATATATAACGTTATATATATGTCGCTATGAGAACTCCAGGCTGGTGAATGAACTACAGAAATACCCACTGTGAACAAAACCCATACCATACAAGCTAGTTAGCTAATCTAGTATATCTGACTTTAATTAACTTGTAATTAAAAAATACAAAACCAGCTAATTTGTATTGCTGTATTAACATTATCTTTGTTTTTATCTTGTTTTAATTCAAGGTGTGGTTACCTCAAATAATGCCTAAAGTTGTATCAAGGGCACACACTCATTCTTCCCATTCTGCCAGTGTTGATTGAATGCATCATTACAATGCGACGCAGTAGCGCCACCTGGTGGCGGTGAGAGTAGAAGAGTAGGAGGATGAGGAAGGAGAGCTCATACAGAAGCCTACACTACCTCTTTTTTTCCAAATCCTTTCATTGAGTTTTCTGCAGTACATCAAGCAGGACATGGCTCGGTATATGTGACAGAAACAACCAAAACAAAGAAAAAGAACCAACCACCCTCCCACAACCCCATGTTGGTAAGGGTCGGTAAATAGATAAATGAATAGATAGATAAAAATAGCCAAAGTAAATAAAATTATAGTTTCCAGGGTTGGGTGTGGGAGGTGTGTGCTATGCTGTACATGGTTTTACAGTTGAAAATCAGGTTTAAAACAGTGCCACTGAACAGTCATTCATTCCACCACACAGAGTGTGGGCAGTCAGTGTCACCGTTCACAGTCATTCTGAGGTTTTCACTGTGGATTCTGAATTTCCTCTCTTGGCTGTTTTTATTGTTTGTTGATTGTCCTGACACTTGATGATTAATTTTGAAACTTTTTGAACGAACAGACTTTCCTCTAAAGGTTGAATATAACCTCTGTTGCTGTACCCAGTCTTGGACTTAAACTGGAGTTTAGGTTAAAAAAATGAAACACTTTACACTTTATTTTCTCTCTCATCAGTGCTTGCAAGATGTACGACTGTGGAGCTGCTCATATTATCAACTGTTATACCATTTTATTTTTAGAAAGTGGAAAAACATGAGATATTGAGGCAGCTTGTAAATCACTACATATTAAAGCAGTTAGAGAGCATACCTCCACCAATGCTGCACAGTCCTCTAATATCCCTAAATTCTCTTCTGATATTCTAAATGTTAATGTTGGAAATGTTCTTGTTCAAAAGTTATGAGACAAAACATTAAGTTCTCTCTTAGGCCTTTTCCACTAACAGGGAACCGGCTCTGTTCTGGTTTTCAGACCTAGTTGTGAACTTTCCAAGCATTTCGACCAAATATAAATAGGTTTGGAACCCTTGAAAAGTTGGTTTCCAGCTGGAACCTAAAAATAGCAGATTTTCCTTGGGAACCTAAAAATAGCAGATTTTCCTTGGGAACCAAAGTGGGGTCTCATATTCTACAGGTCATTATGCATTGTGCAATGCCCTCTGTTGATGATGAATCCTATTACAAAGGTTCCACTGAAAACTGGTGCAAATGTGGGCGGGTTTGCTAGAATGCTTTTTTTTTCTTCTGCTTTCATTTCTGGCATATCAATGTATGTGCAGGTCCTGGCATAGCAAAGAAATTCCCTCCAACATTATTAGTAGTTACTTTAGCTCAGTAAATTTCTCAGGTCATGTGGCCTAGGTGTACAAAAAAATAAAATTTTCAAGAGAGAGGATTTTAACTATTAAACAGGCTACATTTTACTGAAGCAACAATAAATAAAATGTGTAATTCTGTTGTTTTAATATGTAGTGGTAAGTGTTTTGGTTAAATCTGGTTATCATTGCTCATGCCTGGATGAATATGTTTATTTCTGGCCTCCATGGGTGCCCCTAGCAAACATTACAAATACAACAAATAAACAAATAGGCAGAAGTAATGAATGGATGAATTGATGAGTGGAATGTCAAATGACTGGTCTCCCTTTGCACTGCCACACCAGACCACAGTGGGGAGACAGAGACCTACTATGTGAGCGTTGGCCACCTCTTTGTGCTGAAGTGCATCACTTCTGATGCTCACACCAACGTGACCTGGAGCAGAAGGGGGACGAACAACCTGAGCCTGCCTGCTGGAGTGGAAGTCAGGGGCGGGTTATTGTACTTCCTACCTGTGCAGATGTCTCATAATGGATCCTACACCTGTGAGAAAAGGTATAGAATCTCTCTAAAGACAAAATAAGGAGCTCAAAGCTGCTTTGTCAAGTACAGAAATGTGTTTCTAATATGTTGTCTGCACAATTTATGTGAATGAGGGTAGGCAAAAAGACAAAAACACCTGTCTGTGTAAGGCAATACGACGCCACGATTGGCACAAAGTAATCATAAAATAGAAGCAACAACTCTCTTAAACTGTTTTATCAAAAAGTGGAGCTGAATTATTTATTTCTGGGGGCTGTCGTTTGTGTTAGTGTTTAACTGTGAATCACAGTTAATAATGAGGAGTTATTTTAAGATTTATCCTGCCCTCATTTATATAAACCAAGCTAACATACAGCAAATGGGAGTACTGGTGGGTTTCTGGGATGCTATTGTCCTCAAAAAAATAGTTCCAACATGGAAATGGAAATGGAAATGGAAATGGAATGGAAAAACTTGCAACTTCATCTGAATTTCTCAAATCATTCCCCAAAAGAGATCTGCACAGTATCAGGTCATATATGTTAACTGGAGCTCAGGTTGGCCTGTCCTGCAGCTGTCTCACTGTTAGCCTCCTTCTCTTTAGGGATGAGACTAGAATATTAAGGATGACGTTTGGGCTGTCGGTGTCCAGTGGACGGTGTCCAGAACCACCTGAGAACAAATCCATCTCTGTGGGTGTCAATGGAGGTCTTCATTGCAAACAGACAGATATCCTCAGCCTGAATGACACAAGGAGCATACAGTGGATGAAGGTATACCCAGCTCTGGGACATTCATGTGCTCTTTTCACTGCAATTTGTATGTCTTCTTGCTTTATTTAGCTCCCAGTTCAGCTGGATAAATGCAACACTGTCCGCTCCTGTACACATCGGAAATATGACGTGTGCCGTCTACGTGAAGGTGGTACAGAACATCTGGTAATGATTTTGACAAACTGTCCAATAGGAAAACCAAAGGGCATACTGCCAAACCGTTCCATGGAAATGCAGCATACAGGAAAATCACACCAGTTAGGGTTAGGGATTATACAAAAGCAAGTAGATAAAGACAGACAACATATGTATACATGAGAAGAAACAACAACAACTGAACTAAACAAATACATCCAGATTATCCTGAAAGGGAGATAGTATTGGTGCAAACCTCTGTTACAGTATGTTACCACCTATCCCTCTTTTCTATCTATAACTCTCTAGCCTGCCATAGAGCTCCATTGTTGTGCCACTGTCATTTATTTCAAATCAATCCCACACAAAACAGTGGGTTAAGCTGTGGCTGAAATTATAGTACCCAACAAATGCACTATTTAGCTGTTTCTAAAATAATCTTATAAAACTCCAGTCCCACGTTGTTAAGGTAAATTATTGAGGCTTTAAAAATTTAACTACCCATTTGTGAGCTGTTAGAAATAATCTGCTAAAAATTCATCCAAATTCAAACCTCCTGCAGTTATTGTGTTCACTTTTCACTGTATGAGCTGTTCTATACTGCTATTGTTATTATTGTAAATAAAGTGAAATATTCCTAAAATATGTCACTTAGTCAGGGGTCGTCACTGCTCCTGGCTTCTGTTAACCTTATTTCATTTTAATCTGGTTGTTAATGGCTTTTAATTTGTTGCCTTGTGTGAGGAACTTTGAAAATAAAGTTACTCTGTGTTTCTGTGTATAGGACTGCCACCCATTGGAACGGCCAGAGTCCTTCTCTGTGGGTAATGATGGCTTCTTGAGACTCACTGCAGTCTCAAAGGGGGATGCTGGGAAATACACCTGCCTGGTAGACATTAGCTTGGACGGCAGGAAGTACACCAGTGCACGCAGCGTCCAGCTGACTGTTGATGACGACGGTATGAACAGCAGATGATCCTGAAGTGGGAGGGAGAATTATTTCTTTTATTATGATTTTTTGTTTTATTCGCCCGATCGTTACATGCTCTTTTTTCTAATCAAGACTTCTTTAGTTCGTTATTTAAATCATCTATATTATTTGTAATGCCATTTATGTGAAATGCATGTGCTGGATTGTAAAATGTATTTTATGATTTACATGTTATGAGATAAGAAGCTGCAGCAGGCCAGAGCAGCATGAAAGTTGTGTGTTGTGAAAGTGAATGAGTAACTGATGACTGATTTAACTTTTACAGCTACAGTAACTTCCCCACGGAGATAATTTATATCATCAATTATTTGGATTTTCCTAATGGCTGTTTCAGTATATTATATTATGTTGTATTGTATTCTTCTCTGATGTTGATTATGTGTCTTTAGATCCGATAGTTTTCCAACTGCACGAGATTGTGTACCCTCAAAATGAAGTGGTCGTGGTTGAAGTGGGCAAGTAACACTCTGTCACAATTGATAACCACTGTCACACATACTGTATGTTTGTATGAGTTCATGATATATAAAATTTAGGACAGGCAACAGTAAATTTCCCTATGAGAGTGAAAGAGTGTGGGCATTGCCTAGTTGTAATGCAACACTGTACATTTCAGCTGTGTGTGTAACATTCTGAAGGATCTATGGACAGAAATGAAATATAATATTCATTCATATGATTTTCATACGAATGAATCATTTTAGTGTATAATCCCCTGAAAATAAGATTTTTTTTGGTTACCTTAAAATGAGCCTTCTATATCTACAGATGCTCCAGGGTGCCGAATGGAGTCCACCATGTTGGGCCGTTATGTTTCTACAGTAGCCCAGAACCGACAAACCAACAATGGCTCTAGATAGGGCCGTTTGCGGTTTTTGTGCATTTTGTGGCCACTGTTTCTCCTACATGCTTGAAAGGGGAGGGTGAAGCGAGGGAGTTGCAAACTGCAACTACACTGCTAGATAACACTAAATCCTACTAACAGGATCTTTTAAGGATTCTGGGCTACTGTACAAACCTGCCGGGTCAACATGGCAGACCCTATTGAAAGCGACCTGCAGCATCTGTAGATAACAACGGCTCATTCTAAGGTAACAAAAACATAACGATTCCTATATTCAGGGATTATACAATAGAACATATGCATGAACATTATATTTCATTTCTGCCAATACAATCTCCTAATTGTTACACACTGAACCTTTAAATGGTGCCTATTTGAAGTTATGGCAGTCCAAATTGGCATCAGATCATGTCTGATAATAAAGTTCCCTTTGAAATGGAAATGAATCAAATCAACTTTTTAGGATATATGAAGGCTCCAAATGAGTTTTATTAGAAGTTTTCAGACCAATTTATGTAATTATTATTACAATTTAAGTATTAAGTATTACACTGACGTTAAAAAAAGAGTTTTTCACCTGACAGTGACAATGCCATCGAACACCAAGATGTGTAGAGTGACAGTTGCTTTGTTTTTTATTATCACCGATGACCAGGTGCGAGAGCAGAGCTGAAGTGTGTAGCCTACTTAGGCTCAATTGAGGATCCTGAGACTTTAATGCAATGGACTATTGACTCTCCCTTCGCTGATAGTCACAAAGGACTCACCGAGACTTGGGAATAGTGAGTTTCTACCTCATGCCTTGCTTTTTGGCCATGGAAGGGGCTGTAAGCAAAACAAGACAAAAACACAAACACTAAAACTCTGACGTTGCCTAACTGCAGAACAACAACAACAAACACTGTGTTAGGCTGAAAGCCAAGGAGCTGCAGTTGTCAGTTGTTACATCTGGGAACCAGCACTTGACATTTGAGTTTAAAAAAAACAGGAGGCAATTATTAGAATTCCAAAGCGGCAATTTTATTTTAGCACAGATTGCATCATTGGTATCATTCAATAAATTGTTAACTGTAAACATCTTTCTGCCTCCTTATAGTTAAATATTACTAATACAGCTTTGAGACGTACATTCTTATTTGATTGTCTGATTTATTAACTGATTGATACACTGTTTGACCGACTGTCCCTTTTTAGTAAGCACGACAATGGCAAGGTGTATGGCGTGTCCACTCTGTCCATCCCTAAAGTTCCACGCCAGTTACTGAATGTCCCCATTCTTTGCTGTGTAATAAACCCAGCTGGACAGACAAGTGGCTCGATGTGGCTTCAAGAAGGTATTTCCCCTTTTTTTTTTTTTTGTTAAACTGTGATTTGCAGGAATCAGCAGCTTCAATATCAACCCAAAGGAAAACCAAAATGGTTTTGAATTAATGTCATAAGTAGATTTTGGATCTAATTTCAGCAACAACAAAAAAAGGGAAAAAAAAGAAGCAGATTAGATATTTTATCCCTTAGATATCAGCATAACTCCTAAAAGTACATTCATAAATTAATTAATAAATTAAAATTACAAAAAGTTTTAGCATTGACACCTCTATCTGTCCTCCTAGCTACACCATATGGCCAAAACTATGTGGACACACCCATGCCCAAATATTTTTGTGCGCTTTTGAGTATGAGACGGTTTTTCATGGTTAGGGCACAATCAAAGAAATCAGAAATCTGATGGGAAGTCTGAAAACCAGAAGAATGCGCGCTGATATAACAGAATATTAATGCCTGTGGCTTTGGAATGAGATGTGTTGTATTTTGTTTAGGCGTCTGCATACTTTAGGCCATAAAGTGTATCTTATTTTATTTGCGGCTAAATCTGTGTTCCAGACAAATGTGTGTCAGCATTAATTCAGTGATAGTGTCAGTGACACAAAATGAGAAACAGAAGAAAAAAAAGACACTCTCTAAAGGTCTATTATAACAGTTTGAGGAATACAAGGCACACGAGGAATTAACTGAAGAAACTGAAATAATTCTGCATAGTGTAATGTGTTCCCATGTGTCTAAAGACTTGTTTCAGGGTTATATGTTGCTTAGTTTATATTTTACAACTTATGTAAAGAATGAAGTTGAGTTGAGAATACGTTTCCTAGAGATTTCCACATGATGGAGCCTTCCTGAAAGCTGTCCTAGTACTACTTTCTTCTCATTTTGTTGTTCTCAAAGATTTGAATGTTTATATTTGTCCGCCCCCCCTCTTCTTTCCAGCTGACCACAGTGCCTTCCACACGCATGTGGCTCTCTGCCTCACTGCCTCCCTGGTTATTCTGGCCCTGGCTGCCGCCTTCCTCTTGTTTAAAGTAGACCTGGTGTTGGCTTACAGGAAACTGTTGAGACAATTTGGTAAACAACAAGGTATGCTTTTCTGTGGACTCATCTGATTATCATCTTTGCTTTATTTCATGATTCAATTAAATTTTATTTGTATAGCGCCAATTCATAACAGAAGTTATCTCAGGACACTTTTCAAAATAGAGCAAGCAGGTCTAGACCGGAACTCGACATTATTTACAGAGACCAACAGTACCCCACCATGAACAAGACGCTTGGGTGACGGAGGCAAGAAAAACTTTTCTTTTAAGAAGACAGAAAAGCCTAGGACAGACCCCTTGCGGCTGCTAGGTGGGTGTGTCATCTTGCCTCCGACGAGGTGTGGGTTGTTTAACATCAGAGAGAAACTTGCATTAATCAAATCACAGACTGCCAAGCGCGGTCACCGGTGAATAAAAAAGGTCATTTTAAATATGCTAATTCAGATAGAAGGTTAAACTTGTATGAGAAAGAAATTTAAGACTCTTTTTGAGTGTGTTCAAGAAGCCTGATTAATCAGGCTCATCGCACATAGAAACTGAAATGCACAAAATGCGCATCTTCAGGAGAGATCTTAATTATATCTTAGGCAAAACAAAAAGATCAGATACATC